CACTTAGGTGAAACCCTCGAGCATGGGTATGCTGAAAACAAACCTGGAAACAATGAGGACAACTCTGGAATTTGAACCCACAAACAAGGAGTATTGCCACCTTATCATACGTCATATCGACATGGAAATGTCCATTGAAGATCCGAGTTAGAAATGGTCTTCAGCAAACCCATGCTTGTTGTAAGGGCGACTAACAGGATCGGTTGGTCAGGCTCGGGTTGATGCATGTCATTGTAACCCAATGGATTAGATCAATGCTCATGATGTCAATCGCTGGATTGTCTGGCCAAGACATGATTATGTACAGACTGTCGTCACATAGCAGGAATATTGCTGAGTGTAGTGTTAACAAACAAACAAACAATACAATAAATCATCAAAGAAGTCTGTACAGGTTCCCCAGCCTCAGTGACACCAGGACTTGAGAGTACCTATCCAGTCTGGATAATATATTGTTGTAAAATAAAATATGGCTACAATTTAGAAAATAGTAATAAAAAACAGCTTAATAAATTCATCATTCTCCGTTTTCACCATTACTACAAGCATGAAAGGCCTCAACTAAGGATGTGGTCCAAACGACCTGCAAGAGAAACAACCTTTCACAGTTGCACCCAATAACATTAAATCTAGTGTGCCCTTGCCAACACAATTTGGCAGCCAACGGCCAGTCAGGCCAAACCTACTCTTTATCCAGTGTTATCTGGACTGCAGGTCAATTTCTTCTATCTGACAGACAAATTGCTGGATTATGTTGACAGTGGCTGCGTTGCTCAATTACTCCTTGATAGGTTTAGGAGCTGTAGGAAATTAACAGGCCATGTGAGGATGATGAATTGTCCATGTTATTTATGCAACACAACATGATAACTGCAGAACCTGTGAAGATCCAGGTCAGAATAGGCATTCAGCAACCCATGCTTGCTATAATATGTGACTACGCTTGTCGTAGGACGCGACTAACGGGATCAGGTGGTCAGGCTCGCTGACTTGGTTGATGCATGTCATCGTATCCGAATTGGGTAGATCAATGCTCATGATATCAACCACTGGTTTGTCTGGTCCAGACTTGATTATTTACAGATCACCATCATATACCGGTAGCTGGAATATTTCAGTGTGCAGCGTTTAACAACAAACAAACAAAACAATCTTTTTGGAACAATTACTGTATTGGGTTCAAAATGTAATACTTTGGGGAATGTTTTTTTTCAAAGATAAATATTTCAATAATTGATACATGTCACATATCGAGACCACTGTTTCCAGGCAGCATGCTGAAAAAGTTGTTTGTTTGCTGTTTGTTGCTGAGACAGATAATTGACAGTCAAAATTTGAAAAGAAAAACCTGTTCAATGTCAAACTATTTTCAACATCATCATGATCATAACAATCAGCCCCGTGGGGATTTCAGGAACTGTGTGTCCTGTGAGGATCGTGTTGTAAAGCTTGGTGACTTGTTGTATTAAGTGTCATCATATCCCGACCATGTGTGATGATGCTCATCACATCAATCATTGGTTTGTCTGATCCAGACTTATTTATTTACAGGCAGACGTTGGAACATTGTTGAGTGTGGTGTTAACCAACAAACACAAAAAAAACCTCATGGATTGTTTCATCTTAACTTTGTTTAAAACAATGCATTTTGATGAGTTTTTTTTTTAAAAACCTGCACATCAACTGACATGATAATGCAACCTGTCATGACCAGACCAACATTTTTTTATATTCATATAATTCATATAATTGAAACCACAATATTCGTAGGTCTAAGGGAATATCAGCATACAGCCCTCTAAGTAGCGACCATTGCGGCAGCCAAATGAGACTTAAATCTATGATACCAACCTAAATTGATCTACTGCCCGCCATTTGACTACCTAAAAGTAAACAAAACTGGCAACAAAATCTCTTTAGGTATCTGTTGGCTCCTAAAATCTTTGGTTTGGCCCCTAACATGAATATTTAAGGGCCAAACCAAAGTTTTTAGGAGCCAACAGGGAGTAATGGCTCCCTAACAAAAAAAACCAACTTAGAGGGCTGTCATACATGGTCCCTGTTGAGCATGTCGAGCGTTGGTAACTTGTTCAGGTAGCCTGTCCAGAGTTAAACTATGAACGCGGATAATGTACTCTCGTCAACTTTACCCCATACTGTCAACATGTTCAGAAACTATTTTGTAGTTTCAACTTTGTCGTGTTAGGGGCCTTAGGTCCACAAGGTGTATGGCTACAGGGTATGAATCTAGCCGCCCTAATTATTCTCTCAACAATAGGTTCAGGACAAGGACCCCTTGACTTCCATGGATAATTTCAAACACTACATGTCAACGCCATCTCACACACAATGCCACATCCCCTCAACACAGTTCAATTCCTACAGCTGATGCGAGAAACTACCCTACTCTGTTTTCTAAACCTTGAACTTTGAACGTATGTTTCGCACATGTGCCTTCAACAATACCAGGACAGCTGGAAACGGTCATAGGTGCGACAGAAACAAACAGCTAAACTAATACAGCAATATAGTCACAGAAAACAGCAACATCCAGCCAGCTCAAAATCCATATCTGTATACATGGAATAAGACCAATGTTATACTTATAATTGGATTGGATTAATCAGGCTAATGTGGAAATATTTCATGACCCTCCAAGAATGCATGCCAAGCTATTTCAGGGGTGCCAATTCAAATACGTCATTGACGTACATAATTGAAATACAGGCCATTCAGGATGAAGTACATGTGGGGAAATCAATAAGCTTCTACTATACAACATGTACTGTGGGGGATAACAATAACACCAATATTGACAGTTGCTGTCCCCGGGTAGTGACACTGTTGGTAATAAAACCGTAATACATCATAAAGACAGGAACGATTAATTACCTGTAGACAACACTATTGTTTGGTAGTTCCTACAGCTGAATAAAAGCTCTTGCTCTTGAAGCAGTTGCACTGATGCACCAATGTTCTGTATTCAAGGGGCTCCAGGGTTCTGTAGTCAAGGGGCTTTATGGCTTTAGGGTTCTGTAGTCAAGGGGATCTTAGATTCTGTAGTTAAGGGTCTGGCTCTATGGCTTTACTCAAGGGGCTCCAGGGTTCTGTAGTCAAGGGGCTCTTAGATTCTGTAGTTAAGGGTCTGGCTCTATGGCTTTACTCAAAGGGCTCCAGGGTTCTGTAGTCAAGGGGCTTTATGGCTTTAGGGTTCTGTAGTCAAAGGGATCTTAGATTCTGTAGTTAAGGGTCTGCCTCTATGGCTTTACTCAAGGGGCTCCAGGGTTCTGTAGTCAAGAGGATCTTAGATTCTGTAGTTAAGGGTCTGCCTCTATGGCTTTACTCAAAGGGCTCCAGGGTTCTGTAGTCAAAGGGATCTTAGATTCTGTAGTTAAGGGTCTGGCTCAATGGCTTTACTCAAGGGACTCCAGGGTTCTGTAGTCAAGGGGCTTTATGGCTTTAGTCAAGGGGCTCCAGGGTTCTGTAGTCAAGGGGCTGGCTCTATGGCTTTAGTCAAGGGGCTCCAGGGTTCTGTTGTCAAGGGGCTGGCTATATGGCTTTACGCAAGGGGCTCCAGGGTTCTGTAGTCAAGGGGCTCCAGGGTTCTGTTGTCAAGGGGCTCTAAGACTGTTTTCAAGGGGTTCTATTGTTCTGTATTCAAGGGCCTCCAGGGTTCTGTATTCAAGGGCCTCCATGGTTATGTTTTTTTGTTTTCAGGGGGTTCCAGTGTTCTGTATTCAACATTCAAGAGGCTCTTGAGATTTGAATTTGAGGGGCTCCAGGGTTATCTACTCTTCTAAACAGAGATACGCCATTGAGTAGGTTGGGTTTAACACTGCTTTGAACAACATTTTAATTATGTTATGATTTGGAGGAAAGCCAAATGTGATGCCGTTAGGTGTTTTCCAGTTTGGCAAAACTTCACAAGCACAAGTATGGTGCAGACAGGTCTTTATGATTTGATCTCTATCATAAAAGATCCCTGTCAGAGGATTCAGTCAAGTCCAGACTCAACTATTTCTGGACCATAGATCGTTCAAAGATAGAATAGTTCTTAATGTATTATTAACTCAAACACTTTTATAACATAATGACACACTGAATCAGACAATCATACAAAGAGATGTAGTTCTTCATTTCACATCAGCTGATGACACAACAGACTGCACAATCCTTATTTTAGATTTTTTTCAAATTGCATTTCTCTAAAAAAAAATGCACACCTTTAGCCTTTGTCATTAGCCTTGACAAGAAAACTAAATCAAGCTTTGGGTTCATCTGTTTGTCCGGAATCCCTATGCTCCTAATTGTAGTTTATCTGCTATCTGTAAATTAGTGAAAACATGACAAAGGTCAACTGTTCTGCACCTGGGTTTAGGGTGCATATGTAAAGCCTTCATTTAAACTAAATGACAAACATTGTCAGTTAAATGGTGAATATTCATCTTAATATATTTTTCGGTTCCTCAAAATTAATAAATTTAATTGATGTTGACCATGATTGTACCTAAGACTACAACATGTGTGTAAAATTATTTTTGACTATTACTATGTGTGTGATAGAATGAACAAGCATCTACTAATTCTACAAGCATCTTGCTGACATGAAATTTATTCTTAAAGAGTGTATCACTCATAATTACAAACAAGCTAGAATGTGACAATAACTGTGCTGGCTAAAATATCAATGACATGACAATGATCATTTCATAATTGACAAGGAAAATGTCTCTCCTGAACATCATCTTTTACAAAATAAATGATATATCAGCCTAAATTCGATTTACACGCGAGCCCACTGATTCTGGTTCTGTCATAAATTTGCATGAGTAAGATGAAAATATTTTGACAACAACCAAACCACCTCTAAGAGAAAAAATCAGACGAATGACAATGCCATTGTTATGAGATCAATTAAGGATTGACAGCCCTGAGGGAATCTTCGTTGCTACTGAATGAGTGGGCTACTCAGTGACTAATCTGTAAAACGTCAACCTTACCTTTCCCTACAACGGGGGACAGCGTGAAGGGTTCGCACTGCCAAATATAGTCGATCAGGAACGGGCTCAGATGAGCTAGAAAAATGTCAACTTGTTCCTCAAGGTATGCCTGAACTTCATCGTCTCCTATTCGGTTTGGAATGGACGGAAACAGATAATACTCCACGGTGTCTTCGCTAGACCGATGGCCCTTGCCTGCCATGCCGATGTCGTCCTGTTTCGTTCTATAAACGAAAACACGGAAGTGGAGTTATTCGGTAGGTCAGCCAATCAGAAAGCGCGTAACATTGCGCTTCAGAGGATCATGTGACAGGTGCTTTCCTCAAAGATCCAAGGATTTCTCAACATTGGCAGGAAAAAGACGAAGTAATGTTAAAACCTAAAGCTTTGACGCAGGTTTTAAGTCAAGCAAACACCGGAGGAGTAAGCAGTACACTGTAGGTTGAATGCTCTTTGTTGGTATTTCCAAGGGGCGTTCTTTTCGGAGCCTTATACTGGGGGTATGGTGTTAAAACCAATTCTATCTTCATCAGTTCATCACCATCAGCTAGCTGATCATGGACCTACGTAAGATTTCCAAATGACGCAACTGCTTGCATTATCACACCAATATCTCAAATCTGTTTAGATATATGAGAGACTAGGAGTGGCAGTGTAAGATGCAATGCAGTACACCCTTTGCAATATACGTGCCAACTTTTAGTGCATTACAAGTCAACTGACATCATTAGATCGAGTCGACTTCATCAGCTGTGTTCATTACATTGTAAGAGAACCCAAGCCTGTGACCCCCATGATCTAATTGCTTCACCTTTTGTTGTGGCTATAAATTATAATAAGAGTCCTCTTTTAAATTGACTAGAAGTCTCTCTTGATATGATTGGAGTATGAAATCATTGTTGGATTGAACTAGATTATCAGACTTTAGTTTGTAGATGAGGAGAGTGAGTTGCATCATGAATTCTAATCAAGAAGTGAAAGTCATTGACCATAGATTAGCCAATTCTATTCTTAAGATGTGACTACTTCTGTCTCAGGAATGTCAAGAATTATATGGTGAATCAATAGTTCATGGTTCAGTTCACCCCATGCGACCCCAGTTTGGGATTGGCCTCCAGCAATGCTGGTCCAGACTCGATTACTTATGCAGACCACAGTCATAGCTGGAATATTTCTGAGTGCGGTGTTAAACAACAACAAAAAAACTATCCAGAAAAGTGTTCGTTAGTACTTAAAGGTGTTCATGTTTATCCAGAAAAGTGTTCATGTTTGTCCTGAAAGGTGTTCATGTTTGTCCTGAAAGGTGTTCATGTTTGTCCAGAAAAGTGTTCATGTTTGTCCAGAAAAGTGTTCATGTTTGTCCAGAAAAGTGTTCACATTTGTCCTGAAAGGTGTTCATGTTTGTCCAGAAAAGTGTTCATGTTTATCCAGAAAAGTGTCCATGTTTATCCAGAAAAGTGTTCATGTTTGTCCTGAAAGGTGTTCATGTTTGTCCAGAAAAGTGTTCATGTTTGCACTGAAAGGTGTTCATGTTTATCTAGAAAAGAGCTCATGTTTATCCAGGAAAGGGTCCACGTTTGTCCTGAAAGGTGTTCATGTTTATCCAGAAAAGGGTTCACGTTTGTCCTGAAAGGTGTTCATGTTTATCTGGAAAAGTGTTCATGTTTATCCAGAAAGTGGATGTTGGGTCAAAGTAAGTATCTGTCCTTTCACCATGTCGATTCTGTCCAGTCTGCTCAACAATGAAGGGTCCCTGTTGGCATATTCCGGTTACGGAGACAAGGATGCTGCAGTCACTGCCGCCATCGCAAGCAGCATCTGGACATCGTATGTGAGGAACGGAACCCAGGCCTTCAATGATGACAAGTTACAACATGTCCTTGTAGAGTGCAAAGTAAGACTGCATCCAGTGTTGCTATCCCAACATGATAGTGATCAAACTTAAGATATTTAGTATATGTTTACATGAAAGAGATTGTTGTTCCCATTCAGTGTTTGAAATAATTTTAAAACCCAAACAGACAGTGGGGCACGTGACCCATAAGTGTTGCCTGCCCATCTTCAAAGTTACCTGCCCACATTCAGACATTATTAATATTAAAAAATCGCAAATATAAAAGTCAGATCGCGTCATGATTCAGTTGAATTAATGCAAACAATGTAGGAGAAGTTATAATAAAACTGAATATGTCTTAAAATTATCTGCCAGACAGTCCAGCAGGCAGAGGAAAATTTCATGCAGCCCAACAGAAAAGTTACCAGCCACGGGCAGGCAGTTATTTCAGACACTGTTCCCATTACATTGATTTCTTAATTAGGATCACCCAGTAGCAATAACTATCTGCATATACTTGTTGGTAGCTTAAAAGGAACATGGAAAAAGCAGCCTCTCCTAAGATATAATGTCCCCCGCCGTGACATTGCTGGGATATTGCTAAAAGCGGCATAAAACTGTACTCACTCACTAAGATATAAGTGAAAAGCATGTTGGTTGTTTTTAAAGTTTGTCAATGAAAGTAGGCTCAGCCTCTGTCGAGTCAGATTTGGTCCTGTTAGGCAAGCTGATCCATCCGAAGTGTTGGAACTACAATTTTCTGTTCAACTAAGCAAGAGGTGTTATATTGCGGATCAACTTTCCCTCACTGTGAACGATACTTGCATGCAAAAAGTCCACTCAGTGGCATGTTTAACATATTTTATGAGAGCTTCAGTCAATGTAATGCCCCTGTTGTTTCAGGAAGGGAAGGTCGGACTCACGAAGGTGGCCAACCTGCTCCTGTGTGTGTGCTGCAAGGACAGTGTGGGATTTGGAATGTTAAAAGCAAAGGTATGTAGTATATCGTGGAATCATTGGATTTCAGACATCATACTTCGTTGGTTGGCAATGTTTACCACGATTACTCACGCATTAACAGGCACTGTAGCATCACGCAGGCGTAAATTCTCAGATGATGGTTTGTTTGTAAGAGGAAGTTGTCTGTTATAAGTGAATTAGATGTTTTACAGTTGTTCACGTAATTAGTGACAAATTTACAAAGGTTTCTTAAGCGTCTGAAAACCCATAACAGGGAAAAGTTTAGTATAGCCTTTTATTTCGAGGAAATAATGTGACTACTGTCTGTGCCAAAACCTTTTGATTCTACTAACCCAAACTTGGCTCTTATTATACTTTAGGGTATGATTGCTCGTCCACTAGACAAGAAAATATATTTGTCTTTGCTGAAGAAGAAATTTCCTGCTTTTGAAAAAATCATCAAATGAAAGAATTGGCAAGGTCTTGCAAGGATTATCTCCCCTGTATTGTAAACATCCTGTTTGTTGTTGAATGGTGCACTCATCACTATCCAATATATATGGGCAGTGTAAATAATGAAGTATGACCACCCAATCCATTTCAAGTCACCTGTTACAACCAGCATAGGTTATTAGGGACCACTTTTAAGCCAGAATACCCCTGAAGATCCTGGTCGGAATAGGTCTTCAGCAACCCATGTTTGCTGTATAAGCGACTATGCTTGTGCTGGCTGACTTGGTTGATGCATGTCATATCCCAATAGGGTGGATTGATACTCATCATGTCAATCACTGGATTGTCTGGTCCAGACTTGATAATTTACAGACCCGTCATATAGCTGGAATATTGCCAAGTAAGGCGTTAAACAACAAACAAACAAACAATTTTAAGCCAGAATCTCCATAGGGTGCGCAACCACGAAAGTGTGATGAGAATTTGGTGGGATATTGTATTGTTTCAGCTGGAAGCATTAGCCACATACTTGGAGGAACCTCTATCTCAAGTGGCAGCCTCCTGACAGTGGGCAGCAGGCTAGATGTGAACAGACAGTGCTGTATACGGCTTCTGTGACCATCACGGTTGCTTCCTGCACCATTCCCGGCCTTGGTGCCAGAAACAGGCTAACTCTTTGAACAAACACAACTTTGGTTTCCTCAGTATTAAACTCCTCCCACTTCACAGTTCGAAGCATAGGCATGTGTACAAGTTGTTAAGCACCCAAAAACCTATCTGTTAAAGTCAGTGATATGTCAGACTTTGCACTTAAGTCATGCAAATAGTAACAGTGATAATAATCTAGGACCACCTGAAATGTTGTTTTGCTTTCCCTAACTATAGAAAAGTAATGCTGTTAATGTTTTGTGAATACAGATAAGGATATTTGACATATCACATCAGAAACATTTTGCAGTATTTTGGCCTGTAATATACACTACACAAAAGAACACCCAATTCTTTTATATTTATAGCAATATGAAAACCCGGGTGTTCTTTTGAATAGTAAATGTTAGTTAATCTCATGCATTGTCAGTGGTGCCATATTTGGTCATACTGCTGGTGTGTAAAAGCATGTCCTGCTGAGGCTTAAATAAAGAATATGTTCTCGGGCAACAGCTTTTGAAAAAGTAGTGCGGGCGGTGGTGTTTTTTTCCCCCATTTTGTTGACAATAATTTCAGCAAAATCATGCTGAGGTTGTGTGTTTTCGATAAATGGAATATTTAAAGATTTTTATATAAGGTAGACACAATTTTATGGATAACAACTTCTTTAATACTGTAAAAAGGGACGTTTAGGTATAGATCCTTATGCCGTTATCAAGCAAGACTGAAGAAGTTGTTATCCATAAAATTGTGTCTACCTTGTCATCCTTCAACTTCTAGCAATGCCTATCAAACAATTTTTATATATATTTTTTTTAAATGGAAATAAAAATTAAATGTGCCGCTGGATTTATGATGATGCGGGAGAACCAAAACTATTATTTTTCTGTAGCCTATGCTGGCCAAAACACCATGGTGTCAGCATGCTGGTGCATGATCATCAGCTTTACTGATCACTAACATTTGACTTAATTGAAGCGGTAGGATTCAGTAAGCTAACAGAGAGAATAGCTAGGCTATTACTGATACTTAAAAATATAAGGATTCATCCTTCACTTGGGGCAGTTGGGTAGCCCAGTGGTTTAAGTGTTGTGAGAAAATGAAGCTTTGCTATAGCAGCCACTGGGCGGTCGGGTAGCCTAGTGGTTAAAGCGTTCGCTCGTCACGCCGAAGACCCGGGTTCGATTCCCGACATGGGTACAATGTGTGAAGCCCATTTCTGGTGTCCCCCGCCGTGATATTGCTGGAATATTGCTAAAAGCGGCGTAAAACCATACTCAGTCAGTATAGCAGCCACTGAAAAATAAAAGGATTTCTTCTTTTCACTTGGGGAGGTGGGTAGCCTAGTGGTTTGGGTGTTGGCTTGTCACTCTGAAGGCATGAGTTCAATTCTCCACATAGGTATGATGTGAAGCTCATTCTTGGTGTCCCATAATAATACTATTAAAAAGCAGCAAAAGACTCTCCCCTCCCCTCCCCAGTCCCCACTTTCTCTATATGTTCATTTAATGAGATAAATATACTGGTTTAGTTAAAATGTATATCACTACAAATGTTCTGTCATTAAGTCAAAGAGCACGTACAGCAAAGCTTGTGAAAATTTATTTTTGTCCAAAACACTAAAGAGTTTCTTGTATGCAAAAGCCATGTATGTAAATAAACTGTTAATACAACTGAAATGTTTGTCATTAATTTGTGTTACTAAATACAAAGTTAAAATCTGTAATTCAATTTAAAATGTTTATTTTTATCAAGTTTTTTTTTTTTTTAGGGGGGGTGTCAAAAGAGGAAAGAAAATCTCAATTATGATTTGTTTTTCACTGAAGATGTCATGATTGGTGAAGAATGTCCTGACACATCCTTTGTTGATAATTTCTGAATGTAAAGAAAACAGACAGCATTTGGCGGGAGTGTCCATCCACCAGTGTCAGACAGCACTTGCAGATAATGTTAAACCATACAAGCATCAGACAGCACTTGCACACAATGTTTGACATACAAGCGTCAGACAGCATTAGGGAGACACTGTTCCACCATAAGAGCGTGGGACAATCCTTGAGACTGTGAGAGATTCAGCCATCACAGAGTCCATGCAGTATTTGTATTTCCTTGTGATACCCCATACCAGCCGGTGTTTCCAGAACCATGGGAATGTCGTCAAAGTTCGGATCGGTCATCACTCTGCGAAAACCCTCAAGGCCGATGTGGCCCTTACCTATGTTCTCGTGTCGGTCCAGATGGCAGCCCTTCACACCTGGAGCAAAGGAACAGAATCTCATACAGGTTTCCATCCTGGCTGATTCAGTCAGTGAACTTTATCTACCAGTATCAACCGGAGGCATGCCAGAAAGTGATGCATACGAGCACTGCAACTGATTTTTTCAAATTTATTTAAGGATTGAATCCAAAAACCAACATGCAAACTTTTGTAAAGCATCCGCTAAGCAGATTCATAGAGTTTCCATGAACCTCTATTCATACCTCCATGAACCAACCAAAATACACAGTCAATCCTTATAATATAATTCCACTAGAAAACATGTGATGTCTACAATAGTTTAACCAAGAACAGTTGTATATATCAAAGCACACAAAAATGACGAGATTGACAAACATTCCTTGGAATACATACCACGGGGTGACATGGATCAGGTGATTGCTTAATTTATGCACATAACTTGACACGCTCACAATCTCATTAAAATCAGATCTTAGTTCTCTCTACGGCTAAACAAAGATCTGAGGACATCCCATTACAGGTCACATCAGACCGACCTTGCGCAAACTTTGACCGACCAATGGAATGACCAATCAGAAGGCAGCTTTCTTGTGCTTTACGGCACTAATTTCAAATTGGCGACTCCGCTTCGAAACATATTTGGACAAATGCTCGATTACAAATTTGAAACCTAAACAAAAGAACATTCTGAAATGGCTAATAGATGGTCTAGATTGTATGGATTCAGTCGTTAAACCTGTAACTATCTTTCGGAGTTACAGTTTTTGAGGTTGCATGATTAGAAATCACATTCTGACTGTGACTTTCATAACCGTAACCGATGCTCTGATTGGTCGGATGAAAGGTCGTTCTGACGTGACCCCTAATGGGATATCCTCAGAACTTTGTTCAGCGGTAGCGAGAACTGAGGTCTGATTTTAATGAGATTGACACACTCACAAAGTCAGAATTCCCTCGATTGTAATACTGAGATTCCACCACATTCAGTAGTGATAAAAGTAGTCTCGTTGGGCGTGGCTTAATTCTTTACATTCATTTGGAACTTGGAATTACAATTAACACAACGAAAATGTAATTATTTAAGGATAGTTGTTTCACTTCAATGATTTTGACAAAGCTGATAGTTATTGTTGTCTAGCAGCAACAATTGAACAATGGCAGCCGTCACTGGATGTCACGAATGTGTCCTGGCAATATGTCATGCATATTTTAACAGCTCTAGCCAGCCAGGCCAGCGAGATATTGCTTTAATAGCCAGTATCAGATTTCAGCACCTATTTTGTTGCCCTGCCAAGGAGAAATCTGGTAGCAGAGAAAAAAAACAACCCATTATTTTTCAAGTTTCAACAAAGTCAGAACTTCAATCTCAATCAATAATGAACAGGTTTCTCATTTGAAGAACTAGTATACCAGTAAGTTGTGACAGCCGAGTCACAAGCAATATTCTTTTTTTAAGAAATCGATCTAATTTTTCATTTTTATATTTGTGAAGGAGGAAGTATATATGCCACACAATAGAAGTTAAAAAACAACTTTTTCATGACTGCCATGGCCATGACAGATTTACTATAGTAATAAATAAATAGTAATAGGAAAGAATCTGGTATTCTTTTACTTCTTTTGAGTAGTATATATTATAGTTCACTAGATAGAAACTTAAGCTAACCAGTCAGGCTACCTAGATTATATTTCCACAAGCCAGAAAGAAAAGGACGTAGCCACGTGCTACCGGGCTGCAGCCTACGTCGCACACTGATGTCATGATGTGAGAAGTTATGGCTTAAAGTAGACATATGCTGTTATGCTTTACTGGTGCAGGTTGTGCTGGATTACAAGTCTATTTTAACCTCATATGGGTTAGATTTATCACTCATGAGAAGACTGTAGTGAAGCGAAGTGCTAATTAATGTGTGCACAGTTGCATGTCACAAGGGTATCCAAGCATGTTCCATCTCACCCTTGGAGTCGTTCAAGTGCAGAGCGTCAAGATATTTGAAACCAACAATCTTGTCAAAGTCTGATATGAACTTCTTGTAGCCTGAATCAGTTGCCAGGTCGAAGCCTGAAACAGGAACATTATCACATTGGGCTACATGGAATCAGTGCATGGTGAGACGGTCCTCACAGGTGATGGAGAAACAGCGTATACAAACCCGCAAAGCAGTGACAATATGGTACAGTATGCTGGGCATGATATTGGAGTCTCCTGTCATATTGCCAAAACAAGCTAACACAAGAAAACAGTGTCATCACTATCCCTCGCCATGGGGCACATTAAAATGTTGTTTATTCAAATACATGTAGTAGTGACTGCAAACTATAAAATAGAGTCCTATAAAGCCTTGAGAAGAGATAGCACTTAGTACGCTTTAGTGAGTGAGTGAGTTTGATTTTAAGCCGCTTTTAGCAATATTCCAGCAATATCACGGCGGGGGACACCAGAAATGGGCTTCACACATTGTACCCATGTCGGGAATCGAACCCGGGTCTTCAGCGTGACGAGCGAACGCTTTAACCACTAGGCTACCCAACCGCCCTGGTACGCTTTAATGTCATCAGTAAAAATGATTAAATGTGAAATTATTACACACAAAAGGCCTCTTCTCTGGACAAAATAACTAGATAAGTATCTCCTAGTTAAGCAAACTTTAGTAGTTTCCTACAAAACTTGTCCCCAATGTAGACACTACACACTAAGTAAACTAAAATGGATCAAGGGCCGTAACTCTTGTCAAAAGAGAATATCCACTCCATTCCCATGCTTCCTCTTTGAGAAAAGCCCCTATGGGTATTCAGGGTTAGAGTAGGCCCCCCGCAACCTATGCTGGTCGTAATGGATTGGGAATTCAGTAGCATCAGGCTTGGTGACTTGGCTGAGAGCATGTCATTGTCCCCTGTTTTCGTGGACCAGAAAAGAGCAGTATCGACCTCATTTGGCTGATATTGCTTTTTGGCATTTATAAAAACTGGTATTGACCTCACATATGGTCTATCTTTGTTGATATATAATAACGTCATCATTTTGATTTAGGTTTGGACAACACTACTGCTGGGTAATTCCCGTTCTATTCTTAGTACAATGCAACCAAGGCCCTGTCTATGATACAGAATGTAGTAATAACAGTGGCAGCGCTAAGATCACAATGTGGAACTGGGCTAATGTCCTACCTGCAGCGAAAGCATGACATGTATCAAGGCAGACTCCTATTCGAGATTTGTCCTTGACCTTGTCAATGATGCCTCGTAATTCTTCAAACTTTCCTCCAATTGTATTTCCCTGACAGCACATATTTTCTATCACTGAAATGAAAGTGACAACAAATCAGCTTGATTGATGTTCCAGGCATTTTGTCCTGACTTAATGTGACTTGACTGAGTTCGGATTAACATTTTGCCACACACCTGTCCTGACATACTTGGTCTTGGAGTGAGCGATGTTGATACTCTCTGCAATGAGGGCGATACATTCCTTCACGGAAATCTCCCCACAGGTGGAGCCTGAAACACATGCACTTACTCAACATACAGTAACATATGTTTATAACAAACACGGTATAACGAACTGCGGATATAACAAACTTATTTTTTGGTCATGTCCATTTGCTGTATATATGCTCATAACAAACTACGGTTATAACAAACTAAAATTAGTAGCCCCTTTGAGTTCGTCATAACCATAGTCTGCTGTACATCCAAAGTCAACACGGTTTACAGACACTGCCAATACCATAGTTTACTGTACATCCTATAGTCAACACGGTTTACAGACACTGCCAATACCATAGTCTACTGTACATCCTATAGTCAACACGGTTTACAGACACTGCCAATACCATAGTCTACTGTACATCCTATAGTCAACACAGTTTACAGACACTGCCAATACCATAGTCTACTGTACATCCTATAGTCAACATGGTTTACAGACACTGCCAATACCATAGTCTACTGTACATCCAATAGTCAACACGGTTTACAGACACTGCCAATACCATTGTCTACTGTACATCCTATAGTCAACACGGTTTACAGACACTGCCAATACCATAGTCTACTGTACATCCTATAGTCAACACGGTTTACAGACACTGCCAATACCATAGTCTACTGTACATCCTATAGTCAACACGGTTTACAGACACTGCCAATACCATAGTCTACTGTACATCCTATAGTCAACACGGTTTACAGACACTGCCAATACCATAGTCTACTGTACATCCTATAGTCAACACGGTTTACAGACACTGCCAATACCATAGTCTACTGTACATCCAATAGTCAACACGGTTTACAGACACTGCCAATACCATAGTCTACTGTACATCCTATAGTCAACACAGTTTACAGACACTGCCAATACCATAGTCTACTGTACATCCTATAGTCAACATGGTTTACAGACACTGCCAATACCATAGTCTACTGTACATCCAATAGTCAACACGGTTTACAGACACTGCCAATACCATTGTCTACTGTACATCCTATAGTCAACACGGTTTACAGACACTGCCAATACCATAGTCTACTGTACATCCTATAGTCAACACGGTTTACAGACACTGCCAATACCATAGTCTACTGTACATCCTATAGTCAACACGGTTTACAGACACTGCCAATACCATAGTCTACTGTACATCCTATAGTCAACACGGTTTACAGACACTGCCAATACCATAGTCTACTGTACATCCTATAGTCAACACGGTTTACAGACACTGCCAATACCATAGTCTACTGTACATCCAATAGTCAACACGGTTTACAGACACTGCCAATACCATAGTCTACTGTACATCCTATAGTCAACACGGTTTACAGACACTGCCAATACCATAGTCTACTGTACATCCTATAGTCAACACGGTTTACAGACACTGCCAATACCATAGTCTACTGTACATCCTATAGTCAACACGGTTTACAGACACTGCCAATAGCATAGTCTACTGTACATCCAATAGTCAACACGGTTTACAGACACTGCCAATACCATAGTCTACTGTACATCCAATAGTCAACACGGCTTACAGACACTGCCAATACCATAGTCTACTGTACATCCAATAGTCAACACGGTTTACAGACACTGCCAATACCATAGTCTACTGTACATCCCATAGTCAACACGGTTTACAGACACTGCCAATACCATAGTCTACTGTACATCCTATAGTCAACACGGTTTACAGACACTGCCAATACCATAGTCTACTGTACATCCTATAGTCAACACGGTTTACAGACACTGCCAATAGCATAGTCTACTGTACATCCTATAGTCAACACGGTTTAAAGACACTGCCAATACCATAGTCTACTGTACATCCCATAGTCAACACGGTTTACAGACACTGCCAATACCATAGTCTACTGTACATCCTATAGTCAACACAGTTTACAGACACTGCCAATAGCATAGTCTACTGTACATCCTATAGTCAACACAGTTTACAGACACTGCCAATACCATAGTCTACTGTACATCCTATAGTCAACACGGTTTACAGACACTGCCAATAGCATAGTCTACTGTACATCCTATAGTCAACACGGTTTACAGACACTGCCAATACCATAGTCTACTGTACATCCTATAGTCAACACGGTTTACAGACACTGTCAATACCATAGTCTACTGTAAATCCAATAGTCAACATGGTTTACAGACACTGCCAATACCATAGTCTACTGTACATCCAATAGTCAACACGGTTTACAGACACTGCCAATACCATAGTCTACTGTACATCCTATAGTCAACACGGTTTACAGACACTGCCAATACCATAGTCTACTGTACATCCTATAGTCAACACGGTTTACAGACACTGCCAATACCATAGTCTACTGTACATCCAATAGTCAACACGGTTTACAGACACTGCCAATACCATAGTCTACTGTACATCCAATAGTCAACACGGTTTACAGACACTGCCAATACCATAGTCTACTGTACATCCTATAGTCAACACGGTTTACAGACACTGCCAATACCATAGTCTACTGTACATCCTATAGTCAACACGGTTTACAGACACTGCCAATACCATAGTCTACTGTACATCCAATAGTCAACACGGTTTACAGACACTGCCAATAGCATAGTCTACTGTACATCCAATAGTCAACACGGTTTACAGACACTGCCAATACCATAGTCTACTGTACATCCTATAGTCAACACGGTTTACAGACACTGTCAATACCATAGTCTACTGTACATCCAATAGTCAACACGGTTTACAGACACTGCCAATACCATAGTCTACTGTACATCCAATAGTCAACACGGTTTACAGACACTGCCAATACCATAGTCCACTGTACATCCTATAGTCAACACGGTTTACAGACACTGCCAATACCATAGTCTACTGTACATCCTATAGTCAACACGGTTGACAGACACTGCCAATACCATAGTCTACTGTACATCCAATAGTCAACACGGTTTACAGACACTGCCAATACCATAGTCTACTGTACATCCAATAGTCAACACGGTTTACAGACACTGCCAATACCATAGTCTACTGTACATCCTATAGTCAACACAGTTTACAGACACTGCCAATACCATAGTCTACTGTACATCCTATAGTCAACACGGTTTACAGACACTGCCAATACCATAGTATACTGTACATCCAATAGTCAACACGGTTTACAGACACTGCCAATACCATAGTCTACTGTACATCCTATAGTCAACACAGTTTACAGACACTGCCAATACCATAGTCTACTGTACATCCAATAGTCAACACGGTTTACAGACACTGCCAATACCATAGTCTACTGTACATCCTATAGTCAACACAGTTTACAGACACTGCCAATACCATAGTCTACTGTACATCCTATAGTCAACACGGTTTACAGACACTGCCAATACCATAGTCTACTGTACATCCTATAGTCAACACAGTTTACAGACACTGCCAATACCATAGTCTACTGTACATCCTATAGTCAACACGGTTTACAGACACTGCCAATACCATAGTCTACTGTACATCCTATAGTCAACAGTTTACAGACACTGCCAATACCATAGTCTACTGTACATCCAATAGTCAACACGGTTTACAGACACTGCCAATACCATAGTCTACTGTACATCCTATAGTCAACACAGTTTACAGACACTGCCAATACCATAGTCTACTGTACATCCTATAGTCAACACGGTTTACAGACGGACTACACAGATCCTCGGATGGCGATGACAGTAACACATTTTAAACCAAGATCTCACCAGGATGAAAGTTGTAGAGGGTGAGGCCCAGTTTTTCACATCTCATCAGCTCGTCCACCAGGGCATCGCGACTCTTACGCAAAGTGTCTGGGTTGGGAGAGCCGCAGTTGAGCAAATAGGACCCATGTGGAATTATCTTGTCGGGAGAGAACCTATATTCCTAAACACCAAATAAGTGCAGATACTAAACCTTTACTGAGTATGTAAGAGTATTTATTACCTATGAGGGCAAACATATCAGGGTTCATAAAAATCATATGTGCCCTTGGGTCACATCTCATCACAAGGGGCTGGTCGGGTAGCCTAGTGGTTAAAGCGTTTGCTCGTCATGCTGAAGACCTGGGTTCGATTCCCGACATGGGTACAATGTGTGAAGCCCATTTCTGGTGTCCCCCGCCGTGATATGGCTGGAATATTGCTAAAAGCGGCGTAAAACCAAACTCACTTACTCACTCTCATCACAAGACAACAGTGTATTGTTTCCATCATCCGGATGGCATTGTTGACGTCATTCAAATCGTATTGTGACGTGAGGTCAGAATGACATCACACTAGAAACAACGTCGTAGCTGAAGATTGTTGACGTCATTCAACAAATTGTGGTTCCGCTGCTGTTGCAACTGGTTGTTCTTATAGGTAAACACTAAAATTCATCTCTGTATGTAAACATCTTCTTTGGTAATTATTGGAATATTATATTCGTGTTCATGTCATACTATGTTTACAGCACTCATGCCGAAATTCCTCTTGCTTGGGAAATACCAGAATTTAGAGTCGTAAACATAGTATGACATGAACAGTATAATATCCTCTATATTTGAGAGAGCAGTGGCAGATCTTCTTTTTCACATCTGATGACATTTGCATTGTCAACATGTTGATTTGGTTGGTAAAGTAAAATTGATAATGGTTTACATGTAGGATAAACCCAGCCTAACTGCAATGATCAATGCTCATGATATCAATCACTGGATTGTCTGGTCCAGATTCCATTATTTACACACCGCCGTCATATAGCTGGAATATTGCTGACTGTGGCATTACATAACAAACAAACAAACCAGAATTTCAATAGGCGACCTGGCAGATAGTGTGGCATCATACTCAAACAGCATGGACTGTCGCTCATACTATCAACCATCGGTTTGCCTGCCCTAGACTCTTGGCTGATTGATATGGCTGATTGACATGAAATAACCACAGACAACATCAGGAACAGAGGATACCAATCTTGTTGACCAATTAAATTCTTATCTAAATTCACATTTCTGCAATAAGCAATCAGAAATTCCTATAAACATACACCTTTATAAAACAGTTGGTTTAGAGAGGTATATTTCCATCATATGATCACAGACCTTACATGCATCTTTGAACTTTGCAACAACCTTCTCATCTAGTGGTTTAGCCTTCCATTGTCGCTGCGACTTGAGAAACATGGCAAAGGATGTGGCGCCAATATCAGCGGCATTGTACACTGCATTGTGTGCACCTCCTGGAAATATACAGATGGTAATTTTCTACCAAATTTACAGACATATGTCTTTGTGATTAAAACCACAGAAAAAATGTGTAATACGTACCAGAAAATATGGACTGTCAAGTATAATTTGGGGCTAATATAGGGGTGCTGCCTGACTGATGCCGATTTATAGCGCTAGCTCACTGAGATACCATGCCACGGTTTAACATGAATACCCCACTCAGACACAGTATACTGACTCCGAGCCAACCAGTATCCTTAATGCCGAGCGCCAGACAGGGTAACAACAAGTACCATCTTTTAACGTCTCTTGGTATGACGCAGCCGAGGGCGGACGCTCTACCGGAAGACTACAGAGGCGGTCAGTTTTGTTTAGAAGTTGGTATATCATATTTTGAATAAATGCTTTGTATTGTATAAACATGTTCTCCCACTGGTGAAAAAAATAAACCACTGACATGGCTTGCCAATGGTTGATTGATAAGACAATGTACAATGACACCTGGATCTGCCCACCTTGAGATGAGACATGTGCACCAACCAGCTTCCTGCAAGAATGACCTTTCTTACTTGTCTTCTTCTTACTTTTCACCTTCACATCTTCATCAAATCCATCTTCCTCCACTTCATCTTTTACCCGAGAACGTGATGAAGATGCTTTACCCTTTTTCACAACCCCTTTCTCTTTTTTCACAGTTCTGCCTTTCTTACTGTGAGAATTGTTTTTATCTTTGGAGAGGTCATTGTTTTGGTCCAAAGGATCAATTTTCACTTTCTTATTAGCTAGTTCACCGCTCTCATCGACATCAGTGTCATTTTTTCTCTTGTCTGTTTTCTTTTTTATAGATTTCTTTTGTTGTTTGAGAACTTCGTCTTTCATGTCGCCTTCATATGGGGATTTGGGGGCACCTTCTTTCTTGCTTACTTTTTTATCTTTGGACTGATGCCTCTTTGAAATATTTTCTTCCAAACCAAACTGTGTAATAATTCTTGGTTTCCTTTCCCGTACTGGGCGACTTCTTTCACTGTCCGCCATATCTTTTTCAAAGGCTAAAGCATGAAGAAAACAAAGATAAATTATTCATTACCTACTTGTTTCAAAAACATCCTTATTTCTAATTGGATACGATAAAAGCAGATCATTCTTGAAACTGATAATTTGATAGTGAGCAGCTATGACTAGGCCAATAACACAAAAATGTTTGGAAGCTATATTGGATTTCTTATGAACAGCAATATGTAACAAATGTTATATTTGGGATAACACTTCCTCCGTAAAATACAGATTCTAGTACTTTTTTTACAGTTGATTCCCATGCAGGATTCGAACCCACACTGCCAGAGTGAGGCACCTAAAGGTCAGAGATCGAGCCCACCGAGGCTTCCACAAAAAGGAAAGTCTAACAACTGAGAAGTCAGATCACATACTTTGTGTACCCCTCTGACAAGTGCAAATATGCCTTTGCAAACAGCCAAAGCTTAACAGCTCACATGTTAATCTATATAACTATTGAATCATCTTAAGCGCTAAACATGGCATAGAGAACATTAAGATATCTGCTGTCTCGGATTGGCTAAATCATGTTAATTAAAAAATTGGCAAACTTGGAACTTCTCTTGGATCATAAGCCTAGTTTTCAAACTTGTAAAAGTAATAAGGAAAAAGCAAAAACTTTTTTCGGTGTTACTGTCTTTAATTGTGTCTAATAAGTTCCATCGTATCGTTCTCGTTTGTTTCAGCTGCACGGAGCTGATTGAAGTTTTCATATTTAGGTGCCGTTTTGACGAAGTGACGTTTAGTCCGCTTGCATAACAGTATATAAACTAAATTTACGGGGCTACCACTATCCCCTGCAATAAATATAATAAGTTGTCATTCACGAATAAGCATTTACCTCAAGCCTCAAAGTCAAGTACAGTCTCTTTTTACCAAAGACAGTTTCCCGCGGTGATTCTCTGTTCAACAAGGGCAGGTCACTCTTATTACGTACTGTAAGAGTTTCCTGTCATGTGAAACACAATCGCTGACTAACGCGTTCGAATCACCTCGGGATTTCGATGGACTCAAGTTTCCCTGTTTTCAGTTTTAATGATAATAACTCGCGAAAATGTTTATTCATCAAAGGTATATACTATTCCACCCTCATAAATAAACTAGCAGGAAATAACTACAAATGCAAGCAGAGAAGACAAAACTGGATACTGTTGTATCGCCTTTTTCTAATCAAACATAGAATAAAGATGTGAGGATGAAATGGGGTTAAACGCCGCGTTCAAGACTATTGCACTAAAGGAAAGTGCATGCACGCGTGCCTACGTGCGTGCGTCAGTCTGTCTGCCTGTCTGTGTGTTCGTACGTGCGTGCGTGCATGTGTGTGTGTGCTTGTACTAGTCGGACTAATGCCAATTTTATAGTCTAACCCACTTAGATACCGTACAGGAGTTTAACATGATTACCCCACTCAGACACAGTATACTGTCTCCGAGCCAACCAGTCCTTGTTTTAGCCCCTTAATGCCAAGCACCAGGCAGGGTAACAACAAGTGCCATCTTTTAATGTTTTTTGGTATGACGTGGGCGAGGATCGAACCCCGGCCCTGCTCTACTGACAGACGCTCTATCGCTAGACCACGGAGACGGCCCCGAACGGTGTGATAACATGCTTTGGAAAAAGTGTTTTCATGTTGTAGCCTATCTCAAATTTCATGATTAAAATGACATTAGCTTTCTTTAATGTATATGCACTTCAATTAATAAACAGACAGAGAAATATAATAAAGACATATATGATGTTTTCACAAATGAACTGAAACAAAATTGCACCTACAATAGTTTACATTACTAAATATAATTTGCGGATTTCAGTGTACATTAATCTGAAATTTAAATCTAAAAATTAAACCATCTGACGATCGGAGTCCAAATCCCTTTATTCATATTTCGTATTTATCTCCCGATCGTGGTTATTTAACTGTTACTGTAAATATTGTGTGCGGGTAGGGGGAATTAGCTATTCTTAAATGAAATAAATATATAATTAATGTGACACTAAAACTTGATGACGTCACATCCCAATATACATGTACAAGCATATTTGTGTCTGAAATGGTCTACATAGTTCCAATAATATGAGGGATGGCGAAATATCGGAAGACCCAGGTTCGATTACTCACATGGGTATGTTGTGAAAAGCCCATTCTTTGATGTCCAAATCCGTGATATTGCTGAAATAGTGCTAAACGTGAGGTAAAACCCCATTCACTCCAATAACACAACTGTCAAACATCTGATCGCCAAACATTAAATGCAGAGACAATCTCTTTAAAACAGATCTCAGTGCTCGCAAGAAGAGACCTGTTTTAACCAATCAGATGACAATGGATCAATAGGTAGGAACTTGGACCAATCAGATGGCCATTGCGAGGTAGAAACTAGATCCAATTGATGCAGTCCTCTTAAAAATCCTCATGCACTCGCTGCATATATGGCAATTTCCAATTTACGAGTCCAGTTAAAAATATCGAGTTATTAAACAAACAAAGGAATCCTAAAAGATAAAGATGACACGGGCCCCCTACGTCTTCATAGTTCCGTTGTTTGAAAGGATATTCTATTCGGTCGGATTATAACACCGCGCCCTTCGAGTGTCAGATTGAAGTTTCTGGAGCCATATAACAGCTCACAGCGTGTTGAGAGTCTCATATGTGCATCTTTAAAATATATTACAACACATTGTTTTGTAGGTCAATAAAATCATGATGCGGACAAAAATGAAATCCTTACGAAAAGCAATCTCAATTAAAATCAGATCTTTTACTGCGATACGATGCGTCTTGATGCAGAGCAGTTTTGTAAAGCTATTATTTTAAAGAGCTCGTTCATATAGTTGTTGGATGTCTTACGACATATCGGTGGATTGAACAAAGAGTAATATTTATTTTTAGTTAAGACAGACGTTGAAGCGCGCAATATACAGACCCGGCTCTATTTATATAGTGGAGTGAAAATGCGGGTATCAATAATTGTAAGACAGAGTTATTCTTTCAATGCGACGTCTCGAGTAAAAATAATTCTGACTTTGTTGATACTTCAGCTTCTAAATTGTCACTTTAAGATATCAATTTTGTCGACGATTAATACCGTGGATTGTTGCAACATTTCAGTTCATAGGGGCACGGGTGGCCCAATCGTCTAAGGCGCCGGCTGCACAGACCTGCGTCCCTTGGGCACGCCAGAAATCTATGGCTTCCCGTCTCGCCCCGATTATGTTTCTGACGTTAATAAAACGGGGTAAAAACCCAATTCCATCTCTCACATTTCAGTTCCTAATTAATCTGGTCAATTTGAGTTGTTTATATATATATATATATATATATATATATATATATATATTAGTTTTACGATCTACGTACAACAGTGGAGTTAGCATTAGTCGCAGTAAAGAGCCGAGGTACACAGAAAACGATTCAATCTGCCCTCACACAGCGAGTGCAATGACCCTGTGTTGTACACGCATCAGGAACGGCGTAATTCAGTCATGTCTCGTCATGAACATCTCCGCATCTTTGCAGACATTAGTTCTCCCTAATTCCTAATAGTGTTCTATTGTGATTCTCCGCATGACCTTCAAAGACCCATTAAATTCGTTCTACATATCCCACAGCAGGCAGTGTTTGCATACCCAATATGATCGTGCTTAGGTCATATACAAGGGCATGCAGGAGATATATCCGCAGTGGAAAACTCCCTGTAGGTCGTGGCTGAAATAAACATAGAGGTAGCTATATTTGTTGATAACGTTTAGCGTGTTACGTCACAGTGGCAGATCATGTCAATATACAGTAGAACACGGATATAACGAACTACTAGGGACCAGAGAAATCACTTCGTTATGGAATATGATATATACATATTTTGCTATATCCCCCGCAATGTATAGTCCCATTATTCAGACAAGGCCTTGATCGAGCCATGGGGATCGTAATACCGCATCGGTCTGTTTGGTATACTTCAGTGATTCGTTGATTCTTCTTCACTCACAAGAACGGGTTCGACTCCTTGAGTATACGTATAGCGGATCATAAAATTCTGAGTACCGAACCTTCGATCACAATGGGGAATGCTTGTCGATCTGACCCAAATGGTTCATCCTCGTCAATGCTGACAAGGTAAGGAGGGATATATGTCTACACACCCCTGAAGATCCGAGGTAGAATAGGTCTTCAGCAACCCATGCTTGCTGTAAAGGGCGACTATGTTTGTCGTCAGAAGCGACTAACGGGATCGGATGGTCAGGCTCGCAGACTTGGTTGATGCATGTCATCGATCCTAATTGCGTGGATCGATGCTCATGATGTCAATCACTGGATTGTCAGGTCCAGACTCGATTATTTACAGACCGCCGCCATATAGCTGGAATATTGCTGAGTGCGGCGTTAAACAACAAACAAACAAGAAACTGTCCCCGTATACTGTGGTCGTCACTCACTCTGTCCCCATTTCGACATGGACCTCGTTCGTACCACGTGTCAATTTCCATTTACGAGAATTAGTTGAAAATATCGAGTTATAAAATAGACAATGAAATCCTGAAGCGTAAAGCTGACAAGGAACACCTTCGTCTTCATAGTTCCGTGTTTGAAAGGATATTCTATTCGTTCGGATTATAATACAACGTCCTTCCACTGTCACAATGATATTTCAATGCTGTCGTCACTCACTATGTCCCCATTTCGAAAAGAACGTGACCCCGTGGGTCATAAAGAGTATATTTTTGTTTGTGTGGTGGTTTATAGTTAAGAATTCCCGAGGTTCAAGCACCATCGCACGATGTTTGTACAGACTATATACCCCATATGGTTTATTGGATAGAGTGTCTGCCCGGAGAGCGGTAGGTCAGGGGTCCGATATCATGCAACGTCATACCAAAAGAGGTTGAACGATGGTACTTGTTGTTACCCTGTCTGGCGCTTGGCATTGGGTAGATAAAACAAGGACTGTTCGGCTCGGAGTCAGGATACTGTGTCTGAGTGAGGTATTCATGTTAAACTGTGGGATAGCATATCAGTAGGCTAGCATAACCGACAATACTAGTACTTGCACACACAAACACACGCACGCACGCACGCACGCACGCACGCACGAACGCACGCACACACACACACGTACGCACGTACGCACGCACGCAATAAGTGCAATAATCTTGAACGCGACGTTAAACCCCATTTCACTTCACTGCCTACCCGAGAAATGTCTGTATTTTATATCTGGAAAGTCGTTTGGTCTGAGTATGCCAGCCCAAAACGCAGCTACTTAAAGTTTGTATGAAATGTTTTATAAAGGGCCAATGGGGGTCAATACTTCAGAGAGCTGGGAACGTTTGGCGCTAAGGGCGGACAGACAGACAGACAATAGTTTATTAACGTCTCACTCCTGTACATACATAAAACAGCTTTATACAACTTGACATAGATGAAATGTACAGAACCATTCAATAGAATTATGAGAGTCGAATTATCACAGAATTTATACATAAATGATATAAAGATGATATAGTAAAAAGTTATCCATATAAAAGATGTTTTCTACGATTAAGAATTAAAAAGCAGACTTTGGCAAGTATAAAACACACACTGGAGTCACTGAAAATAAAACAAAGTTTGTCGATATCAGGTATATCTAAAATATTATAAGATTTAGCAATACATTCATTAAAAAGAGTTGCCCTGATATCATCATATAATGCGCAATGAAACAAAACATGGACCTCGTCTTCTACGCTGTCATTACAGTGAAAACATTTTCTATTATTGACAGGTACACCTTCGTATCAACCGGTTTCCACTCGAATAGGAGCCACTCCACATCTAAACTTGGCTAGTGCCGATCTATAGTTTCTGGGCATCTTATTTGAAACATAGTATTCTGTCCCATATACTTGTTTGTAACATCGATACATTCTCAATTTATTAAGCCCATTTCGCC